CAGAGGACCTGAACGATTTCCAACAGCACTTATCTCTTGAAATGAATTGGCTGACGTGAAAAGTTTACGACGTGCACTCATTTATTCTACATTCGTTAAATCAAGCCCAAGATACTTATAGCCAAATTACTTGGTACTTAGCTATCTAAACATTATATATTGGCTGGTACTTTCTCTAAGTATAATCAAGTACAATTCCATGCAATACGTATGAGATTCCGTTAAACGTGCAAATGTCTTGTATAATTTTTTGTTTATCGATAAACTCTAATACTATTTATTTGTTATAATACAAAGATTCATGAATGTCGTTTATAATTGCCAAAACATTAAAAACGGCTTAACTTGAGTATATACTTCAGGAATGACCGACTAGTTTCTAATCCAATATTGATCTTCTTCACCATCATCATCATCAACTGTAGTAGTCCAACCTCTAGTAGTCCATTGCAGGACATAGGCCTACCTGAACCGGCCTGTCTGCCTGACCCGGCCTGGCTGCCTGACCCGGCCTGGCTGCCTACCGCGGCAAACTACCTACGCAATGTACTATTTGTGTCTGTGTGTCACTAAGTTTAAAATACAGATATGTTCTTAGAAACACCTATTAGTTGTAAAACCAGGTAGGTACGCATCATACTTCATAACTCAAGTGAATATTTTCTAATAATTGCCCCAGACTTATATGTATAAGATAAAACACAATACTGTTGATAATGAAAGCATTCAATTAATTAATCGTTAGCAAACATTTAGGTAAGTATTTATATTTGCATACTTGGATAACATTTCACATTTCTTACAGAGGTGGTGGCGTATCGCGGGGTGGGGCGGAGAGCGCCGCTCGCCTGTCCAAGTTCGCCAATTATGCTAATTGATCGACCCTCCTAATTGCCCCACTGCAGCTGAACAGCTGGCGCGAGGATCTCGCTCAGACACCGATCACAACCGCAATATTTCATACCCAACTATGAACACGTACAAACTCGTTATATGTGGACACCTTCATCGATGCGAACTTCATAACTGACTCATCTCTCTTCACTCGTACCTTCCTTCAATTGACGCAAGTCTACTGAGTTTTGATTTGGATTCAAAATGACGACGTGAGGAATATCAAGTGATCTCGACGATGGTGAACAATTCTTTAGCGTCATCGGATACTAAATAGTTACTTTACAGGCTTGTACCCATAGAGATGTTTTTTAAATTCACACACGCACACACACTCACGTCTTTATCAATGAATTCTTTAATTCCTACATGTCATTAGTTTAATATTACCTTAAATTCTAAAATCAAAGACGTTTGTTTTTGAGTCTGAGCTTATTACCGATATCCATACCAACATTACCCTCGTCTTAATTATAAATATTGCACCAATTTTTTATTTCACAGTTTGAATTAGCCGATATCGACCACGATTTAACATTTTAAAAATCTATAGTGATTTCTATAAAAACCTGGTAACAAATAATTTATTATATAGTTTCGATATCATAAAAACACTTTCTACGTAACGATTGCGCTTGTAAGCAGTATATGTTCTATTCATCTCCGCCTCATCCCTATGCACACATCGCCTTGTCCCAATAGTCTTTTTTCAAATATGTTATTCGCTTGTAAGCAAGTAAACCAATCTCCGTTTATGACACGTTTTCATATCGAGTCGGCACGTATCATGCTGTATTGGAACCACATGTGAAATTCCATAATAAATAAGTCGTTAATTGAAGATGACATTTGTTCTCATCAAATTAGTTTGTAAGGAATGTAAGTGTCGCTCCGTCGGGGAACATAAAACCGGCGGACAGATGCGGGGCCGGCGGTAATGCTCTGAACATCTGTCAGTTACACTCGAATCAGTGCGAGATTGTGTTGTCGGGGACGTGAAAAGGAACCAGCCACACGGATGTGTTTACAAACTTTAACGCGCAGTACAAAGGAAATAAGATTTGTTACGTTTATGATTCCCCTAGGAGTACGCGATAATCTCCAGCAGTTAAATCTTTGATACCAAGAAATAATCATGAATTTTAGGATAGATTTTATTTTAAACATGTTTAACCACAGCCTATTAATAATTAAGTGTTTATTACTAACTGATTATTTTAATTAACAGAGGCATTGACTACAGCCACAGAGCTCAAAATGGCTTTAATTACTTTAGTCAATATGTTAACACAAATTGCTACTTTAAGACAATAAATGATAGTTGATCGCACAATGTTAAACTTTGTCAATTTAAATCTGACTGTTGCGGGTTCGATTCTCAATTGTTCTATTTTTGTTACTCACTGCATTTTCGCTAATTCTGGTTATCTTTAAATGGTTGCACATTTATTAACATCTCTGCCATATCCACTTTACTGGATATCTATAAAACAAAATAAATGTCGAAAGACGGAGTGTTTCTATTTTCATGTTTCCCAAGTGGCAGGTATTGTTAGCTTATCTCTCGTCTCTTGTCCTTCGCCGAGAACTGTCTACATTCAGCGTCTCGGGCGCCGACAATATACTATTGGAGGCGACCTTGCACATCACTCGCTTCAAAGTAAACCCTTTTATACTAACTAAGAACTCGCTCTAAAAGTACCGTCGAACTTAACGTTACAAATAAATGTGAACGACTTTTGACAGCTTGCTCTACACTTGGTAGAATACAGGGAGTCTTCATAAATCTTTGACTATGTGTGGTCGAGCGAACTATCCATCCATTTCGAGGGCCGTTTAACTGTTTCAATTTAAATTCATGATGGGACAAACGTAAGGGTTCCATGCAAATAAATTTTGAGAATTACTCGTGTTCCCCTCTACTATTTTTATAGCTGTATGGATCACAATATAGGTATTTCAACAAATCGAAGCAAACTTATCAATAAAGCATTCTTAAAGATATTTAAATTATTTGTAAGATTAGGTAGATTATTGCTCTACTTTGCTTAACAACAACAATAACTTTGATTAGGTGGGCAGCACTGTACGTACTCGTATAACCAACGACGGCTACGTTTAATAGCTAGTACTAATATAATTATATAACTCTCTGTTTACGATTACAATTATAGATTACCGTCAAAAATTTAATATAAATTTAAAAAGTTCAATACAGTTTTTTTTTATTAATACATTTACTAATTGACCCTCCTTAATTAATTTTAAGTAAGTAAGTTTAAGTAGGCCAAAACCTCCTTTCTAAGGAGAGGCCTATGTCCAACAGTGAACTAGTAAAGGCTGTGGATGATGATGATGATGATGATGGATGAAATTAATTTAATATGTATTTTTAAAATCATTAGAGATTGCCTCAGATTCCTTGAACTTGAATAAATTAAACTAAAAAAAACAACAAAAAGTATCATTTGTTGGTGATCTAAACTAAATAATGTAAATTTAACTTGTAGGCCACACTTAGGTTTAGAATAAAAATGCTACACGGTTTGGTTTCCTCTGATTTCCCTTTCTTGTGTGATATAATAACCAGTACAGAGATATTTCTTTACTCGATGTCAGTCAAAAATACCAGTAAAGGAAATAAAAGAGGGTAAGAATGAATTTCGACATGTGTTGGTTTAAGGCGCACGTAACCTGAGCCGTGTATAAATAACAGTTACGATCTGATTGCGCGGCGGCGGCGGCGCTCAAGCACATGCATAAAACTTCACCAGCATTATATTTTACATGTAGTGAGTGGCGAATAAACCACCAAGCTACTCGTACTATACTCATTTACAATGCTTGTGTTGATGAACATATCTCACTCTCAATGTATACCTTATTAATAAACATGTTGTTTGCCCCTTATTACCCGATATCGTACGATATTTATACAAGAAAAATAATATAAATACTAATAACATTATAATACTCCTCTAATTTCAATTGACAGGACATAGATTTAGAGTTTTGTAATAAGATAGAGTAGACGTCTGACATAAAACAGATAATATACAACTTTGAAATCAATCTATTTCAGCATAAGCTGGATAAGTTGCGGGAATGTCTCAACACCACCGGCGGTCTTAAGGCCATATTATTTCACTGGGGCTGTTAGTGATAATAAAGGTACTTCAGTATATAGTTTTGGGTGGACATGTATAGAAATATACTCACAATTTTACTTCCAGATTCTTCTCCCGCAGATATTTAGCAGTAGCAATAAATATCAGTAAACTTTACAAAAAGTGAAAAGAATAGGCTTACAATTGATTATGAAGATACCAGCACTAACAGCATCCTCTATATTGGTACTGATAATGAGATGGATATGAAACATTTGTCCTAACCCAAAAAAGAAAAATGAAGGATGGGAGCGGGGTATTCGAGGTAAGGTTGACAGCAACCACTCAATAGCTATTTTACTTTTAAGTGTACTATCGGACTATCAGGTATGGTTTAGTTGTACTTATACTTATTAAAATTGAAAATAACCCTAATCCGATTTGTAAACAATGCAATGAAATACATACAGATTACACTCGATCCGAAATCGAATTTCCGGAGCATTGAGCATCTTGGCAAGCCTTGAATTTCCTAAAGAGTTAGAATTTCCTGATTGTTGTTGCTCTCAACAGAACGACGTTCTGCAGCACAAGATTACAATATTCTTCAGTCTATTGTTGTAGCTCATATCTGCACAAACAGATGATCATTCTTATTTTTACTTTTACATGAAGCAAGCGGGACACAAATAATTTAAAGAGAATTATATTACACACACACAGTAACAAGTTTACCCACAAAAAATTACTTTGTTTCTAATTGAAATAACTAGTTCTACTCATTTAGGACAGCTGTCAACCAAAGACGAACTTTGTCCAGGGATTTGTTTTCACATAATGTTTATCGCGGTGTTGATAACCAGTTGAATGTATTAACTGTCTATTAATAAGAACACACCGTCATTCATATCCCTATTGACCTTATACGACACTTAAACATGCGACGAATTTTATTTAATAACTAAACTTTAGATGAAGTTCGTCTCGGAACCTCCCATCTTAACGTATACTTCGTTGACATAAGCTGATAAATTGAACGCTATAAAATTCAGGGAGGTCAGCGCAGGAGACCTCATTTACGAAGTTTTTGCGAAACTCGTGCGATCTCCAATTTAAATTCAATTTCACACTAACTGGTCGAGTTACGCAAGTTTTTATTAAAGATTTACAGTCCATTCGAAGAGTTCTAGTGCGCTGGTCCGCGGCCCACCTGCTCGCGCCACTCGCACCGCCGCACCGCCACCGCCCGGCGGGCGCCCGCTCCGTGCCGCATGCGTCCTTGCGCTCATTTTTTCCGGTATTGTTGTTCAACTTAGAATTATTAATTTCCCGCGCGCACAAAGTGAATTTCTTTTTATACGCCATTCAACGTGTGCCGAATCAAAGATGTTTCAGATTACATCATACATATGTTTTACATGACAGCTAGTTTTATTTTAAGTTATTTAACAATAATTGTACGCCTTTTTGAAAAAGTTTCGTTTTTACCTCGCCAAACCTATATCCTACTTGACCAACTTAACCTTCGAACGAGGCATCTTCCCTAAAATATTTAAGCACGCTATTATCTGCCCCATCTATAAATCAGGAAGCAAGCATCTTCCCACGAACTATAGACCTATTTCACTGTTGAGTACCCTCTCTAAAGTAGTTGAGAAAATAATGAACAAGCGTTTAATAAGTTATATGGAAAGCAATAAACTGCTTGGTATGAAACAATACGGCTTTCGAGCAAATCGCTCTACTGATGACGCTGTATTACAACTAACATCTAATATTACATCTCACGTTGACAGAGGCGATAAATGTTTAGCCGTATTTCTTGACTTACAAAAGGCGTTTGACACCGTTTCTATTCCGATCCTTTTAACTCGCCTTGAGAATCTAGGCATTAGGGGAAACGCACATCTATGGTTGAAAGATTATCTCACAGAAAGATACCAGTGTGTTAGAGTTGAAAACCATACCAGTAACACCTGTATGGGGTCATATGGGGTTCCACAAGGCAGCGCTCTTGGTCCTACGCTATTTCTTGCATATATTAACGACCTATGTAAATTTGAAATTCAGGGTGCTGACATACAAATGTTTGCCGATGACACAGTGGTATTGTTTCATAGTAATGCATGGGAGAATGTACGACAAATAGCTGAAAAAGGTATGTCTCGTATTACAGCTTGGCTTGAAGATAGTCTACTATCAATAAATGTGGACAAGACAAAATTCCTATGTTTTAGTAAAACTATGGCATCTTCGCCAAAAACACTCCAGTTATCCATACATTGTCATCCATGTAACCGATCAACAATCGAACTGTGTGCACGTTGCAGTTGTCCTGAGCTGTCAAGGGCAACCGAAATCAAATATTTAGGGGTAAATATTGACGACAAATTAAACTGGAAGAAACACATAAACACAGTTAGTGGTCGACTAAGGAAGTTTATTTACATTTTTAAGGATTTACGAATTATACCAGACATTACACTTTTAATACAAACGTACAAAGCCCTAGCTGAATGTTTAATCACCTACTGTATATGTTCGTGGGGCTCAGCTGCAAAAACATACTTGATTGAGGTCGAAAGAGCACAACGGGCTGTTCTTAAAGTACTCCTTTACTTACCATTCCGTCACCCTACTCATCTAGTGTATGAAAAGGCTGAAGTTTTAAGCGTACGAAAGATGTTTGTCTATCAATGTATCCGCAAATATCACAAGCATACTGTACCTCTTCTCCAACCTTCGGGTAAAAGAAAAGACAAATGTCCAATCCCAAGGGTTAAAAGCAAATTTGCTCAACAGCGATATAGTAACATTGCACCAAGGCTATATAATAAACTTAATTTAGATTACAAAACCAGACACTTATCGAACTACCAAATTAAAAACATAATTAAAATATGGCTTAACAGTTTGGCCTACGATGATGTAGAAAGCTTATTGCTGGTAAGAACGTAGTTCAGGTTTCAATACACATACACAAACACACAAATACATACACACACACACACGCGCGTGCGCACTTGCACAAGCACACGCACACGCATAGGCACACTCACACGCACACTCTCACTCAAACGCACACTCACACGCACAGGCACACACACACACATGCACACGCAAAATTAACAAAAGATCTTTTGTAAGTATTCTTCAATGTTTCTTTGTATGTTCCACGTGATTATTGTAACAACTTATTGTATCATGTCTTTGGGAAGGAACTGATCCCCGATATACAGCTCACGCTAGTTTGGGAATCAGGGCTTGCACTTGAATTGTATGTATCATTTGTTACAATAAAATTTATTATTATTATTATTATTATTATGTAGTCGGTAAAATAACGCCGGTGAGCGTAGATCCAACTTCGCGTCGTGTTCAGTGAGTCTCGGTTTGCGTGAACATGGAGCCATGGTAAAGTGTACTTTAGTAAAGTTTGTTGAAAAAGACCGCGCAGAAATGACGGAACAGTTGCGAACAAAATTCTGCCACTAAAATATTCAGCGTGTATCGTCGATAGGGCGCACTTCGCTCCGACTTTGTTAATACGGTGTTTAATGAATGTTTGGCGAACATTGAACGTGCGGGCGGTGCCGGCGCACCGAGCGCGGCCCTCCTCGTGTTATTTATTCACGCACGTCAATTGTATACAAATAACGAAGGCCAACATTAACACGGATAAATTCATGAGCGTGTTTATTTGCTTCTAAACATTATTTTCATTTCCATGGAATTTTGTAGCGGTAAATATAAAAAAACTCAGTTAATGTAGAATTACGTGGAAGGCAGACAATTTGAAACACACACATAAAACGAAATGTAACACGAAATACAACACATCAATCGAATAACAATGTGTACAAATACATGTTTTTGGTTGTACCTACTATTTGTGCAGCCAATACACTTTGTTGACGGATTATAGGAGTAGTACAGGTAATATTGTAATTTTATTTTTAAATTGATCAGACTTCAAACACCACTAACTTCTTATATTTATTACCAAAAGCAAAAAAGAAAAAAGTTTTTTATAATTTTTTATCACTAATTTGAGTATGACACATAATATAATAATATAAAGAAACACTTAATATAAGTACCTATACACCTAGCAAACGGTACCTTCTTGTCTGTTTGAAGTCCATAGAAAATGTACATATCGATGTACATTATGAACACAAAAAATACATAGAGCCGAACATACTTTTTGCCGCGCACAACCACTCCATTGAACAAATTATCGTCTGCGACATCTCCTTCAAATCTTCAAGAAAAGAGCGTACTAATTCCTCAAAGGCCGATAATGCGCTTGTGTTGCAGGCGTTCAGTTTCCATTAGATGACCCGTCTGCTCACTTACGCCGTGTACCATAAAAAAGTATATTCCTCCTTTTTGTAAGTCGGTTAAAAATTAACATGATTCAGTGCAAATTAGAAATACTTTGTGTTGAGTTCTTCCCTCGCTTCAACAAATAGTTGGCAATAACGAATAACTCCAAACGACGTATTTACACGGAGCCTTTCTCCGCCTTTGCAGCGTTGCGATGCAGCTCACGGGGACGGCGCTATTCAGTTTTTGTCTACTGAAGTTAGACCAAGTTTGGCACCGGAACAAACGCTAAAGACAAACTTTTTCCTATTATACGTATGTTTACCTCGGCCCGGAGACGAGAGTGCGCTCACACTGCAGGTAAGGCTTGGACATTGGACACGACTCGCATAACAAATACATGATAGGTATAACAAATATATAGGTTGTTAATCTACTGATTTTAAATAATAAAATGAATTCTTTCTTCTTCTTTCTTTAATTGTTCAAACGCAAGAAAAATAAATAAAAAGTAAAAACAAACGAGGAGACTATCAGTGTGACAACTTTCTGCATGTTTTTTTCATGTAACGTGATATCTTTGTCCAGTGATCGAATTTCAATAACTCTTTGTTAATTAAATTGGCTACATGCAAGGTCTGACGTATTTTAATTTATGAAATGTTCTACTGATTAGGTTAGATCAATAACACACCACTACAGTTTATCGTAGTTTAACATAGTATTAGTTACTTTACATTAAACTAGCTGACCCGGCAAACGTTGTATTGCAAAACAAAAAAAAAATAGGGATGGGTTATTTAGGGGTATGAAAAATAGATGTGGGCCGATTCTCAGACCTACCCGATGTGCACACAAAATTTCATGAGAATCGGTCAAGCCGTTTCGGAGGAGTACGGGAACGAACATTGTGACACGAGAATTTTATATATAAGATATAATTATCGATTTTGTAAAATTTACTTTAAAAAAAATGTTGGTCTCCGTATTCGTTATTGTGGGTTTGATCCCTATACTTCAGCCATATCACATACTATGTACATAATATATAGTATGTTGTGTGTGTGTTTTCATTTTAAAACTATGATAACCATTATTTCGTCTCATATTCTTCCTCATTAAAATGGTGGAGAGCCATGTTTCGGCACAAATGGGACCTCGACCGGAGTAAGGTCACGGCCTCAAAGAAAACCGGTGCTTTTCCGAGTGACTGGAAAAGGGAAAGTGTGTATGTTTGTTACAAATGTTATGAGGGGTGCAGTAAATGACGAGACAGAAAAGGTACTGTTGCCGTTTGATACCTGCCATTGATTGACAAAATCTAAATTCACGCCAACGCACCGTGATGAACTTTTGATATAAATTTTATTTAACATCATTAAAAAGGTTGTGGGATTAAAGAATACTAAAACAAAGCCTTATTTTATTATTCCTTGATCCCATAACCTTTTTAATTAAATAAAAATACGGCTTTATTTTATTATTCTTTAATCCAGTAAGCGTTTAAGGCTTAGGCACACGTGCAGTGCGCTAAAATAAACTTATTAAGATAATTATGAAATTGTGGTTTAACACAGAAGTAGGTGTTTTTAATACTTATAGGATTTTTTTACACATTGAAACAAATGCGGGCCTTGACTTTCGCCATTGCTGTTTAGGTAAATGCGTTAGCAGTGCTGTGCGTCAATCTGTCGTTACGTAACGCGCTGTGCCGGCGGCGGCATAACATCATAAAATCGATAGCACCTCCACAGTGTCCCACTGCCCTTCTACTGGCTACTAGTGCCGGCTCGGATCGGCATGAATGGGGATACGTCTACGGATTATTAGTCTCTAGATCCATCCAGACCTCGAGTTTCTTTTTTCATTTAATGCCAATATTTGTGACCTGAAAACAACAGTTTACTTTTGTGACCAAATAACACTACATAATTATGTCGATTACATTGCGCGTGATTTTTCAATGACAAAGATTTGGGAATTACATTTTATTTATTTATTTTATAGACCATGCAATTTTGGTGCATTTTCGGACT